CTGGGTTGGTCCCACAGTGCCGAGGGGCGGGCGCTACGGGACCAACCCGGCAGCACCCCAGCTGCTCTGCCCCAGGCGTCCCCAAGTCAGCTGCTGGTCAGTTTTAGCAGCGGCTGAATCGGGGAAGCCGGGCACAGAGCAGCTCCAATTGTCCGGCAGCCGGAGCACTTCTGGGTTCCTGATGGTGCCAGACCATCAGGAGTGCAGGAGCATTGGATGCCGGATCAGTGGAGTTTTACTGTACATCAGAAGTGGTGAATAGCTAAACTGAGAGTAAGGAAACTGTGTATATGTTAGTTAAATAAATCATACTTCCTGAACTGCTGCATCTTCTCTTGTCTCCATATTTGGATTGTAGCACAATGAGGGCTATACTATCTAAGTTGAATCACATAATATCTTCCCCATAAATGATATCCTGAATAGGAGCTTTAAAGCATATGCTTAATGTTAAATGTGTAGGTAGATGTCATTGCCTTCAGTTTTTGGTGCTTTAATCTTAGGATGGCAATTGGACACTAAAGATTTTTAACTACGGGATGCTCATCACTATTTTAAAATTGAGCTCTTTTAGTTATCTCAACATGGGCATCCAAAAACAGTGGCAACCAAAATTAATCATTGTTGGTCTGTTTCTTTATTTCCTAAATATATTTCACATCATAAAACATAAATAGAGACGAAGTCATAGTTAACTTTTTGTATGTGCCTGGTAAATCTTTGGGGTTTGTGGCAGCATATACTATCTATGTTTTTTCTTGTTTTTTCTTCACTTATTTCATTAAAGTTTGCTTCAAAAATACCTTGTTTTTGAGCAGTTTTTAACACCTTTGAGTTCAAATAATCAACTAAGTTAAAATTGTGGGTTGCAATAACTGGTTTAATCATAGCTCATGTCCTTGTGAATTTGTCACCACAAGCCTCTTGATCTTTTTCCTTAAAAGGTTTACACTATATTCAGTAAATATTTAGGGTATTTACTGCCAAATGATACAAAAAGTAGAAATGTCATTCACTCTCTGTTACTTTGCATTCTTTATTATAAATCAGTCTGTAATGGTTAAATAAATATCCTGACACTACTGTGTTTAAAGGGCTAACACATTCCTTTGACACACAAACTAAGTGACCATTTAAAACTAAACACCTAAATAAAATGTATGGGGGGAATCTTCGCTCCAGAGGAATCAGTTGTAAAACTCCCATTGATTTTAGTGAGGCAGATTACACTATATTTTTTCTTTAATGCAGACAAATATTAAAAGCAAGTTTCTGATAATAGTCTGTGAATACAAAAAGCATTTAATCTGGCGATGAATTTTAAAATGGAGAGTTGACCCTTTTGTAAAGCAATTTAAAACCGAATGATGTTCTGCAATCTCTGCACTTTGATTTATTTTTTCATTAGTGAACAAAACAAGAAGAGTTGATTTCAACACTGCATCCTTACTGAAAATGGCTCCTACTGCGGAAGAAAGAACCATTGTTCATAACATATTCCTTAATAAGCAAATAACTTGCAAGAAGGGATGGTAATGAGGCAGTTGAATGCTCAGTTGTAAAGGTAGCTACTTTTTGCTTCCCCATCTCATCACTTACAGGAGACAGCATCCAAGAGTTTATCGGGCCCAGAGTGCCATCAGTATATTGATATATCACATATGTTCCCGAATGGAACTTTGTGCCATCTAGGAAAGCTAATTCTATGCCGCAGCTGCAGTCAAGAATAAAACAAAGAGGTTACAGTAGAAGGCTTCTGAAAAAGCAGCATAAATAATCTTAAGAAAAGGGTTATTACTGCTTAACCACAAGAAAAATTTAACCCCCTGTGTGGAGCTATTGCACTGGCATTGCAACCCTGTGCCTTTATGACTGGCTAGATTTCTAAAGGGAAGAAGTGTTCATTGGCTATATTTTGCACCTGCTGATCCAGGATTCTTATTGTGTGCTGTAAACATAAATTCTGCTACCCTGTGAGACTAAATGCTTAGCATACTAATTTTACAGCTTATGATGCGATTGGGAAATAGAGACACAGAGAGTTATGTCTTATAGACAAGAAAACCAGAGTGAAAGATTAAAAGTGATGGAGTAAGTAATCTGAAAAATGGCAGAATTAGAAAAAACAATAGAGGGAAAGGAAAGCTGAAAATGTAATTCTTGTACAATTAGTAATATTTTTAATCTGAAGTGAAACAAGATTCTGAAAAGACAGCAGGAAAGTCAAAATAAGATACAGAAAGTGAAGTGAGAGAAAGGAAGAAATGACACAAAACAGGGTAAGGGAAATATTTTTTTATTGCCATTTGTACGTTTAGGAGTTTTTAAAATCTCTCTGTATGCATGGTATCTTTATCTTTCTGAAGGAACAACTGCAAAGTTAGCTGCATGCACTCTGAGTCAATGTTGACCTAATTATATTAATAGAAAGCAGGAATAACAATACAGAAGAAAATTCTGTAATGTCTAGAAGAAACATTAGCTGAGCCCTTATGTAGTCCAATAATTAATATAAAATGAGTTATGTAGTTGAAATTTTCAAGGCTACTTAATGGAGTTAGACGTATTTTCCATTTAAAATTAGCAGAGATATGTGCAAATAAATCCCTAGATAATTTTGAAATCTTAAATTAATCACTGATACATTGTTTATCTGGCAATTCACATCATCTTATATCCTAATACAATGGTTTTCATCTTTTTAAATTTTTGAGCCCTTAAAAATTTTGAATGTAGATGTGTGTTCCTTTAGAAATCTTAAAAGTCTGCAGACTCCCAGTGGTCCACAAACCACGGGTTGAAAACCATTGCTTTAATAAATAGTAGTAATTGTTTGGAGACTATGGAGTGGTGTGTTTTTTCTGGTTGGCTCAGGTTTTTTGCTAATTAAGCACCTCAAGTCACAGGCCTTGAGAGAGGTTTTCATGGTCTTATGATAAATGGTTCCTCCTTAGGCACATACATAAGCATTTTGAGCATTAGAATCTAACTTTACTCACGTGACTAGTTCCACTGAAATGATCCACTTTAAGTTAAATGTTTGATGGATTGGGGCCTTAGACTACACACTTGCGTTAATCAAGGTGTGGTTTTTGAGGTTTGTCAGAAACAGCATATGTTTCTTGTGCTTCCATTTGAATCCTGGCTTACTTGGCATTTGTGCATACATGTGGGCTATGTCTACACACTGGCACCCTTTTCCGGAAATGCTTAAAACGGAACAGTTTTCCGTTATAAGTATTTCCGGAAAAAGTGCGTCTACATTGGCAGGATGCTTTTCCAGAAAAGCACTTTTTCCGGAAAAGCATCCATGGCCAATGTAGACGTGCTTTTCTGGAAAAAAGCCCCGATCGTCATTTTCGCCATCGGGGCTTTTTTGCGGAAAAGACTACTGTGCTGTCTACACTGGCCCTTTTCCGGAATAGTTTTTCCGGAAAAGGACTTTTGCCCGAATGGGAGCAGCATAGTTTTTTCCGGAAAAGCACTGACAATTTTACAGTAGATCGTCATTGCTTTTCCGGAAAAGCAAGTGGCCAGTGTAGACAGCTTTCAGGTTATAAGTGGCCCAGTGTAGACTCAGCCATGGGGTTTTTTGTTTTTGCAGTTGTAGATTGTTGAACACTGTTGGAGCTTGATATTAAGTGCATTGCAGGGGTGGGCAATGCAGTCTACAGGCTGGATCTGGCCTGTCCTGACGCACCTCTCATCCCTAGGCCAATCGAGACCTGGGGGCAGGGGAGTGAATGAAGTCATTCACTGTTCAAAACTGCTAGCATTTCTCTCTAGGCACCACATGCCCCTGGGCAGGGCAGGGTTAGAGGGGCGAGAGACTTAGTGTGCTCCCCTGTCCCCAGGCTTCATGTGCAAAGTCTCCTCCCTGCTCCAGGGGCAAGCGGCCTAGAGACCCCACCTTTTCTGGGGGGGAGGGGTGACAGGAGCTGGTCCACAACCACTTACCAAAATTGGTGAAGTGGCCCTCCTGCAAAAATTGTTGCCCACTCCTGGTGTATTGCCTAAACCCCGTTGTTTCTACAGGACTGTAAGTTTTCGGAGTCGTGTGTTACCACCCAATTCAGTATGGATGGAAGATGCAAAACTTAAGGGCTTGGAGATCTGCCATCCACAGGTATTTGAAGGAGTACTAATGTGTTACAAAAGTCCAAATAAGTTCTGAATCATCTTTAAGGTTGGCAGATCTAAGACATTAAACTTAGGCTTTTTTGTTTTTTGTTCTGACACTTAAAATATAATTACCTTCTAAATCTAAAACTTTTAGTACTACTTTTTATTATTCAGGAGATGTATCTTATGTAAGGCAATTCCTCCACAGACATCTGAGAGCAATAGGTATTGTTCAAAGGATAGTATTCATCAGTTAGTCTTTGGATTGCCACCTGTCCACTTCTCATTAATGTAGTCTGGGTTTCGGCTTGTGTGTTTGGTGCCATTTAACAAGCCCTGATGCTTTTTTTTAAAAATTTGAGGGTGAAGGAAAAGGCAGATCAGGCATTGGGGGCCTTAGTGGTCTTATTACCAGTCATTAAGAAGGTGGAGACCCTAGTTAGTCTTGCACTTTCAAATTACATTAAACAGTTCATGTTGTGTTAACACCTTTTGTCTACCATGAATAATTTTTTAAATTAGCATTTGATTATACAAGCTAACATATATGTGCAGTGCAAATCCTAAAGTTACAAACATTTATCTGTAGGGCTCAGGAAATGTACAATACAAATGAGAAAACACCTGGCATATTCTGAAGAGAGTGTTTAAGGTGGTCTGACCTCAGTTTTGTGTGTTTTTTTTTTTTTTTTTTTGGATGAAGTGAGCTCTTGCGTAAGCAAGTTGGGTCATTTAGACATCTACATATTTTAGTTTGCTGTACACCTGCCAAATAATATAAGAACTGTGTGTACACTCCCATAAACAAGAATACCACTGTGTTGTGTGAGTACATACATATTGTTGCCAGTTTTCTGTTTGTTTTTCTAATGCAGGAACGGAACATTTTCAATAGAATCTTTGGGGGATTTCTCATGAGGAAAGCATTTGAGCTGGGATGGGCTACAGCCTGCAGTTATGGGTGAGTTTCAGGTTTTCAGTATTTGTGTAATCCAGAATATTTTGTGTGTGTATTAATGGAGTGGGGGAAACCAAAACCAGCCTACAAAATAACAGTTCAGAAGTCAGTGTAGTTGGATTAGAAAAGGGGTTGATATTTGAATGTCTGTTCAAACAGCAATTTTAACCTAATCAAGGTCAGAACACACCTTTCATTGTCACTAAACTCTGAATTTGCATACTAGAGTCCTGGTGCTGATTTTGTTTTATTTTTAAAGTATCTTTCTGTCCTTTTATTACTAACTCTTGTAGATACACATGTTGGCTGAAAATTATAAACATGGGTTCTTTTAGGAATTACATGTTGTTATATTGGTGTTTATGAATTTACAGCAACTTACTGTTAGAAACTGATAAGGTCCCCAATCCTGAACTTTCAAAGTTGCAAAATTTGAACTCTGAGTCTGTGGCAGTAAGCTAATACTGAAAGTTAAATATAAGCTTGCAGGAGTGAGGTCTGTGGAAAAGACTAGACAAACCAAAAAGCAGCAGAAGATGTGTTTTGACTCTTACATAATGTTTCTATACTATGTGGTGTAGTAGAAGAGGATGGGAGCCAGAATGGTGATAGGAGTACATGTAGTAGAGATGTTAGTGTATAGATGTTTAAATGATTAACCGATAAACCTGGGCTTATCAGTTATTCCAAATGATTACATGCAACCCGTCTCCTTGCTGCTTCTATATCAGAGGCAGCAAATGTGGGGGAAGAGAAGTGGGAGCTGGTGCTCATGGGGAACTGGCTTTTAAGATGGTCCCTGGGTGTGCTGGTTCTGTGGAGGCACCCCTCACAGAGGCAGTGGGGTGGGAGGAAACTGGGAGTCAGTGCTGCCTCTATATTGGAGGCAGCAGAACAAGATGCAGGAGGCTCCTGGAGAGTGGAGCTGAGAGTGCACTAGTTGCCACCCTCGCCCCCGGGGAGCATTTTAGTAACTGTGTAACTGCTAAAAATTGTTGTGGCTACACAGTTACTAAAATAAATGATATCTAGCATCCCTAACATGTATTGCCTCTATTCTGACATTCCTTCAGGAGGATATTTTTTTGGCATTCTGGAAGTGTTCTTTAGCAATTCTTATTTCATATATTTATGTGGCACAGTTTCAGATACATTTTGTATTAAGGATAATTGAAATTGATTCAACTTGTACAGAGACAAGTACCTGCTCTTGAGTACAAAGTGTTTTTTTTTTTTTTTTTTTTTTAAATCTGCCAGAGGTTCCAGACCTTTTGTAGTAGCAGTAGACGATATCATGTTTCGAAGACCAGTTGAGATTGGGTCCCTATTACTGCTTTCTGCACAGGTAGGAGATGGTCTCATTTCAAACAATCAAAAGGTTATTCAGCTTGATGTTTTAATTATCAGTCACTGGCAATGAGTCAGGAAAGAGAAACTGACTTCCAAAGTCAAGCAGTGGAATTAACTGTTCTCCTCTCAGTCCCTTTTTCTTGAGTGTAAATGATAATAAAGGTGTCTCCTGCTCTGTCTAGGTCTGTTATACAGAAAAAAACTATATCCAGATTAGAGTACACAGTGAGGTTTATGATTCAGATACTAGAGAGCACAAGACAACCAACATCTTTCATTTCACATTTGCATCAGAAAGAGAGGTGCCAGAGATTGTCCCGAAAACATATGGTGGTAAGTCACAATTTTAAGGCATCATCCTTGGACGGAAATGACCTATTTTCTGTCTGCTTAGTGGAGCATACTTAATTTTTAATAGACTACTATTACTAGCAGAGTAAAACAAAATGCTCCTTAGTGTTAAACTGTATTTATTCTTAACCCTGCCATAATTCAAATGTATTTCCTGTTGCTTATCAGTTGTGGTCGTCTGTGTCATTTCCAATAGGCTCCTGTGGCTCAGTTTATAAAGTAACTATTTTTAAAAATACTCTTCTTTCCTTTTTTCCTTTCATTTCAGAATCCATGTTGTATTTAGATGGGAAGCGGCACTTCAGTGCCACCATGAAAGAAACCAGAGAAATGGAGAAAACTACTGCAGCACCTTAGAAAAATATTTGCTTTGTAGCAACGTCTGCCAAAGATTGCTAGCTTCCTATGCACAGTGTATCAGTGATGGCATTCCTAAAATTTAATGTACTGTGGTAATCAGTGTAGGCATATTGAAAAGTGGTCTGGCTTTGTACAAAAAGGCAATCATTTAGCACTATTTATACAGCTAGCTGTAGGCTTCCTATTCCCTTTAGCACTTCCATGATTAAGATGTATAGCTTTTTAAAATTCTGGTATGGTAGGCTGTTCATGGTAATATAGAGGGAAAACTTTACAGGAATACTACCATTGAGAAATCTCAGTTTTGTTACCTTTTCCATCTCTTCTCTCCTACTACACCTATGCTTGTTCTTTGCACTATGGTCCCAGATACAGGAAAGCTATCATCTCTAAAAGGAGGACTGCATATGTTGAAACCCGGTGTGATTATTTTGTGCAAATCTGGACCAGGTTCCTGTCTGAGTTAGTCAGACTCCTGTTGTTTCGCAGGAACAGGTATATCTGGACAATGGAAGGCCAGTGTGAGGTGAACACAGTCCTAGCAATCATGTATGTATTTATCTGTTGATGGGATTTCACAAGGTTACTGTGGCCCTTGTTTTGAAGAGTTGATGCTGCGTGTTTCCTATTTCTTTTGTGGATATGCTGATTTTTACAAAGAATGAAATGGCCAAATGTGAAGTTTACAGATATCTGAGAGAGATCCCACCAGTTCTGCATATTCTTTTATATAAGTGGTTCAGTGGACGAAAGGTGACATAGGACAAGTTCCTGAGAGAATTATTCCTGAAAGCTTTTAGCCCAAATATAGTACAAATGCTGTTGGCAGTGTGTTGTACATTTGTTGGAAGGGGAGGGAGGCTTTTTAGAACAAAACATTGTTCCATCTTTATGTGAAAGCTGCTAGAACAGCAGTGGATTGAACTGTTCCATTTCAGAAGTCAGGGCCCATTGACCCTGGTGAACAGTTTGCAGGACAGATCGCGGGGTGGAAAGATCGCTGTGTTCTCAGATCCAGAAAGATTCCAAGATAAGAGTATTGCTAGAAAAAAGAATCCTGAACTGGACCATAGGCTAGTTCTTGGTGGAACGAAGATGGCCTGTAATGAAGTACTACACATCTTCCCCATCAGAGCACCAAAGGGTTATTTGGAACATATGAAGTAAAAAGAAATGTTCTGTTGCAGATGGACTCTGACATCAGCTGACATCTCAGAGAAATAATGAAAACTCTAGAAGATGAGTTACAAAAGGAAGTCCTAGATCTGGGTGACAATGAGATAACTGTGCAGGAAGATGGAACAGTCTCCATGTAAGCCAGGGGTGTCCAAACTTTTTTCAAAGAGGGCCAGATTTGAAGACGTGAACATGCGTGAGGGCCGGGTCGGAGGCGGGCGGAGAGCGCAGGGCACGACAGCCTCACGGTGGCCCAGGGGCAGGGTGAACCCGCAGCCGAGCGGGGGAGCGGGGCTGCGGACGTGCCCTACAGGGCAGGCTCTAGGACCGCGGAGGCCATGGGCGGCGGTGGCGCAGCCGGAAGCGGCGTGCTGGGCGCGCCAGTTCAAAAGAGCGCCGGGGAGCCAGGAGAGGGGGAGGAAGCGGGGGCCATATTAAATCGGAACACGGGCCGCAGTTGGCCCGCGGGCCGGACTTTGGACATGCCTGATGTAAGCACTTTAGAAAAGCCTCCTATGTGGCAGCAAAAGAAGAAAAGAAAAAATTCTTGTGGAAACATACAGCGTAGAAACTGGCACTTGACAACAGAGAGAGGAAGATCAGAAGGAACAGATGTGAAACATGGATATCCCATTCAGCAATTACTGAAAGGGAGCCACCACAGAGTAATAGGGATAATAGAAGTAATATATGTAGGCTTTTGAATACTGTGCAATATTGATTTAAAAATTACCATTATGCAATACCAATAAAGCACATATTAAATGGGTTAAGAACTAGCTAACTGATGGATCTCAAAAAGAAGTAGTCAGTGGTGAATCATCATCAGATGTGGGGTTTTCTGATGGGATTTTGCAGGGCACAGTCCTAGTCCTGATACTCTTCAATATTATCATTGATGAGGGAATAAATATAAAGTCACTGCTAATAAAGCATGTGGGTAACAAATGAGGACAGGGCATTCATACAAAACTATCTGTGTCACGTTCTAAACTGGACCCATTCCAACAAATGTGTTTTAACACAGTCAAATGCAAGGCCATTTAGGAACAAGGAATGTAGGCCATACCTACAGAATGGGGGCCTGTATCCTGGAAAGTATTTAGGACTCCTAGTGAAGCTATGGGTATATAAACAGTGAAGTAGAGAATAGAGGTGGGAGGTGATTTTACCTCTGCATACAGTAGCAGTGAGACTAATGGAATACTATGGCCAGTTTTGAAAAATTGGAAAAGGTGCAGAAAAGTTACGAAAAAGATTTTGCAAACTGAAAAGCATATTTTACACAGAGACTCAAATAGCTCAGTTTTGTTTAGCTTAATCAAAAAGATTGGGATGACTTGATTATAGTGTATAAGGGAGAAAATACTGGCTAATAACTTTTTAATCTAGTAGACAAATACACAAGAACCACTGGCTGGAAGACGCATTCAAATTAGAAAAAAGGCACCAATTTTTAACAGTGAGCGCTATTTAGCCATGGGACCAAACTACCATGGGAGGTGGTAGATTCTCCATCTTTTGATGTCTTCAACTCCATAGTTGGATGCCTTTCTGAAAGATGTTTTAGCCAAACAAGTTATGGTGTACAAGATAGGGTTAACTGAAATTCTTTGGCCTGTGTTGTTCAGGAGGTCAGATTAGATGATCTGTTGGTCTTAAAAATCAATGAGTCTAAGGTCTTATTCACAAAGTGATTTTAGTGTGCAGCAAGCTGGAGTGTAAATCTATATTGCAAGTAATGTTGTCTCTGACTCAGCAGTCAAGAAGGGAATAAGTTGATAGAATTAAGTGCTATAGTAGTATCTTATTTCCTGATATTAGCATTTGAGGAATTCAGAATCCTGGCCAGGACTGTCTCCCTCCCTGTAGTAAAGCCAGGCCATTGTTTTTGAAGGGAATTTAATTATTTCCACTAATATAAAAAGGAAAAAAAACGCCTGTACATGCATTGCTGTGGCATACTGCAAGGTATAGTCTGTCTACTGCTGAACACTTGTGTTCCCTCAGTTCTTCAACCTGGGGTGCCTTTCACACTGCTTTGGTCTGTTCTTAGTCTCAAGCATACAGAATTACTCACAGCTGAATGAGTGCTGTAGCCAGTCACTCTGAATTATATTGCAGTGACACTAGCAAATTCTCAGTTCTAGACTTTCCCCAGTATTATGCATCTTGCACTGCCTAGCTTTTCCTTCTGTGCAGTACAAACTCATAGAAAGTCTGTCATTTTAATAAAAAAAAATATGCACAATCCCTAGTATCTCAAAAGATGTTCCCAAACGCACTGGTTTATATAAAAGAAGTTTAACAACTACCGAAAGTGGTTATGAGTACTGAGGCATAAAAGAATTGGTTAAAAAGAAAAAAGTGATTTGTCTATTTGATTTTTGTGGACAGCTGCCTTAGGCATTCATTTGCCTTTCTCTCTGAGGAACTGGTTTGGGCTGCTTCCTCAGAATTGGAATACATCTTAGTAGCATACAATATTTCTCAGTAGAATTTTATACCTGTACATATGATATTGCCACACATTTTTTACCAGGACAGTAATGATCAGTGAATTATGAGTTTTAAAATACTTCACAAGGCATACTTTGTGTAAAATTTATCTTAGTTTTGTAAAAGTGGTGACCCTAATAGTACAGTGTGTCACAGTTACCTCTTGGTCATTCCTGTCCAAGCTGTTCTTGTTTATGTAAAGAGAGGGTGAGACAACATTTCTGGAAAAGTTAAGTCAGACTGATACTATCTAGATTGAGTTACCATTTGCATATATACAACCTCTTAACTTTTCAGCCAACTTTCTGTTGAAACTTTGACAATGTGGTGATATTCAATACTTTTTATCCGTTTGATACTGTACGTACCTTCTGGTTGTATTCCAGATAAGAGGGCAATAAAATGTACAGACCCTTTCAAAGCTAAATGTGTTTGATCTATCCAAAAGTCTGTCAAATTCTCTGTTTTTCCTCCCTCATAAGTAGGAACATGGGTGGATGTCCAAAAATAAATAATGTGGCTGAGAATTCAGAACTATCTGTATTCTGTCTGCTTCTTACACTGCATTGGCACAATATGTTGTTACTTGCATAACAGTAATGTGTTAAAGTGGATACCCAATTCTGTCCCTATCTTTTTATACTTAAAGCACCATATTTTCCAGCTTTGTGTCCAGTGAATTTTTTTTAAAATAAACAAAAAAGAAAGAAAATGGAAAACTGCCCTCAGTAGCTATGGCCAAAGTCCAAAAAGCTAACCTAGCAAATACAGAATAGAATGGAATGCATAAGGGTACCCATGTGGGTTCATAAAATTTCTGGTGACTTTGATTTACAGATGGCCCCCAATCAGAATGATAGAAGGGTATGAATAATCATGTGTATATTTTACTTAAATGAATTAATAGAAATACAATATTTGTCTGGTTATTTCAGGCACGTTAGTTAGGAAGTATGGTTGTCTCCAGACTGGGTCATGTTCAACATATTAGTATAGTATGTACTTGGAGTTTGTGAGAGATGTATTGTCATCTCTGACGGTAGCTCCAGCTAAAGCATATCTGCTTAAACTTTGTTAAAATTTGCATGTCATGTTAATACATGTGTGTGTTTTAGAGATGGCCACATATGAAGTCAAATAATTAGTTAGTTAAATACTGTTGAAATGTAAAAGATTTATTTGTTGCAGGAAGTGAATTTTGCATTTTAATCAAATATTTAAAATTTTTATATAAAGTGTTTCCCAATTAAATGGCCAAAATATTGTCCTCACTCCTACTTTAAAATGACTACCAATACCAGATAGGCCTATGGGATAGTAATAGTAAATCATATACAGCAAATAGATGTCAGAATATCCCTCCCACTGGTTTTATATAAAAGTCTTAATTTTCTGTTTTTGATGAGATTTTAGACGCTGCAGCTGAGAAATTGCCACTTAACACTTGTTCACTATGAGTCAGATACCATATTCTAAAAAAATAACAGTGAGCTGTAATGAAGTCTAGAGCCAAGAAAAGTTTAAAGGGACTTAACTAAAAGTCCTTTTTGTCTGAAGTTGGAAAATAAACATTTGAGTTTTTCTTTGTTCTAACATTAAGAATGAGATCTTAGCAAGAGTTAGTTAGCACAGTCCAACTGAAAAACAGAGCTACACCATTTTTGTATTAATAAAAGATCTAGTGTTAGCTGTTAACTTTTAACAACACTTAGAACTTTTAGGCTATGTCTACACTGTAGGCTTTTTGTGCAAGAGTTCTTGTGCAAAAGGTCTTCCACAAGATTGCATCTACATTGCCATATGCTTTTGTGGAAGAGATATGCTTTTGTGCAAGAGCATCCATGGCAGTGTGGACACACTCTTGCACAAGAAAGCTCTGATGGCTATTTTAGTCATAGGGTTTTCTTGCACAAGAAACCCGTTGCCTGTCTACACTGCCTCCTTGTGGGTGGGGTCATGTACATCAGCGTTACAGACTCTCAGAAACTGAGCTATTATATACAGGCAGTCCCCGGGTTACGTACAAGATAGGGACTGTGGGTTTGTTCTTAAGTTGAATCTGTATGTAAGTCAGAACTGGCATTCAGATTCAGCCACGGTTGAAACTGATCAGTTTCAGCAGCGGCTGACGCCAGTTCCGACTTACATACAGATTCAACTTAAGAACAAACCCACAGTCCCTATCTTGTACGTAACCCGGGGACTGCCTGTATATAATAGCTCAGTTTCTGAGAGTCTGTAACGCTGATGTACATGACCCCACCCACAAGGAGGCAGTGTAGACAGGCAACGGGTTTCTTGTGCAAGAAAACCCTATGACTAAAATAGCCATCAGAGCTTTCTTGTGCAAGAGTGTGTCCACACTGCCATGGATGCTCTTGCACAAAAGCATATCTCTTCCACAAAAGCATATGGCAATGTAGATGCAATCTTGTGGAAGACCTTTTGCACAAGAACTCTTGCACAAAAAGCCTACAGTGTAGACATAGCCTAAAAGTTCTAAGTGTTGTTAAAAGTTAACAGCTAACACTAGATCTTTTATTAATACAAAAATGGTGTAGCTCTGTTTTTCAGTTGGACTGTGCTAACTAACTCTTGCTAAGATCTCATTCTTAATGTTAGAACAAAGAAAAACTCAAATGTTTATTTTCCAACTTCAGACAAAAAGGACTTTTAGTTAAGTCCCTTTAAACTTTTCTTGGCTCTAGACTTCATTACAGCTCACTGTTATTTTTTTAGAATATGGTATCTGACTCATAGTGAACAAGTGTTAAGTGGCAATTTCTCAGCTGCAGCGTCTAAAATCTCATCAAAAACAGAAAATTAAGACTTTTATATAAAACCAGTGGGAGGGATATTCTGACATCTATTTGGAAAAGAAGGATCTTATATATTAATTTTTGTGGGAATTAAATCACCTATCCACACTGAGATTCCTAAAGTTAAGTCCATGTAAGTTAGACAATGATATAGTATATCTAGCTATACAGCTTTTTAAAATGGATGCAAGTAACACAGATTTATCAAGTGCAATTTCCCTGCTTATATAGTGTCATGGTAGTGCATCCTACACTCCTCATATGAACTCTAACTAGATGGAATGGAATAAACACAAGCTCAAATTTTTAGCCTCTCTTTAGGAGGCCCCTACAAGACACACTATTAGTTTTTTCAGCTGCTGGTAGTGTCTGCACCATGGATATTTGTATTCTGAGAAAGCAACTACAAGTGGTATAGTTACTATAAATCAGCCAAATACCTGGAAATAACAAAATTAATGGAATTTTATTGACAACTTGGAAATTGCATGTGCATTGCATAACTCAGTAGAAGCAAGTTTCAGTTTAGTTTATCAAAATACTTCAGTTTTCCAGCTGGATCTGGGATTATCTGTGTGAGAGAAAATGAAAGTGTTGGTCTAAAAACAAAAAAGAAATACTATCTACATCATATTCTAGCATTAAGGGTCAGATACTACATTTAGAAATTACCTTTCACCTGTTCATATCTAAGATTACTGCTTATTTCTAACATGCTAAACAGTGGAGAGGTAGAGGAAGTAACAGTATCGGTCCAGTTCCAAGGCTGTACTCCGCTCTGATTTTCCCTTAAGTGAATCTGGAATTATTTCCATTAATTAACATCTGTACTCAAAAGTGCCTCAGTTTACTTACAGCTCTTCTCTTGGCCACCACAGTCTCATGGCAGCTTCAGGTTTGATCTAATTAAATCAAACACATTTAGATAGCATGGCTACAGATGTTAATATATTTTGAAGAGTGTTTTGTGGAACTATTCTGCTTTTTAAGTGCACTGTACCTTTTGCATGGAAAGTAAAGAGAACATCTTATTTGTATTTACATCAGTACTATATTTACTGAGACCTGATATTCTCAGCAATGACTCAATTGACAGCAACAGGCATACTGAGACAGCAGATGCCAATAGCAGTAATGTATTACTTCCTCAACTTGTCTCCCTTTTATTAAGTGTATCACCCATTCATATAGGCTTGACCCTTCTTAGAATGGGAAATCAACTCATCAGCTGCAAATAGACAGATTATTCAGTTCAGCCAGAGAAGTGGATTTCCAATGTGTCACACATCATCCTATAATCCATTTTCATCATAAAATGTCTCCAGTTTTTCTCACTAAGACAAATCTCAACTAGCCCATGAATAGATTTTCCCAGCATCTGCTTGTTTTTGCACAGTAATACAGAGTTCTGTTGCTCTGCAGCAAAATTAGCTAAGTAAATGTTGCCAGTTGCAACTTTTATTAGAGGCTCTCTCAGGGATGGGCAATTCTTACAGGGGGTCATTCTATGAATATTGGTAAGTCGTAACCAGTCACACATTTATAGTATATCGAAGGAGAGGTGCAGGATCTAAGAGGGAGTTTGGGTGCACAAAAGGGGTTCTGACCTTAGATAGGGAGCTGGGATTAGAAGCACAGCCCTGGCCAAGAGGTGGTTTGGGTGCTATGCGGAAGATACCGGCTTATCCAGACACACTGGCTCTGAGGCTGCATCTAGACTGGCAAGTTGAAAAACTTGCCAGCTGTCTACACTGGCCGCTTGAATTTCCATAAGAACACTGACGATCTAATGTAAGATTGTCAGTGTTCTTGTGGAAATACTATGCTGCTCCCATTCGGGCAAAAGCCCTCTTGCGCAAATACTTTTGTGCAAAAAAGCCCAGATCGCGAAAATGGCAATCGGGCTTTCTTGCGCAAAACCGTGTCTAGATTGGCACGGATGCTTTTGCACAAAAGTGTCTGTGCCAATCTAGACGCTCTTTTCCGCAAATGCTTTTAACGGAAAAACTTTTCCGTTAAAAGCATTTGCGGAAAATCATGCCAGTCTAGAGACAGCCTGAATGTACTATTTGAGGTTTTGTAAATATATATAATTTAGGGACTATCCTTTAATACAAGTCAGTACAGTGACTATCGTGATAGGACTTTGGTTAGGCACTGTTAGGCTAGGCACTGTACAGAGAAGACAGGTCCTTCCTCAGGGAACTGCCAACTCTATTTTCACCTGCATTGCAGGATGGGAGGGAATATTCTCTCTTTAGTTAACTCTGTGGTGCTTGGTTTTGATCATACATTGGAAAGTTGCAGGAGAAAGAAATGCCTGATGTGAAAAGAGTAACTGTTGTTCTACATGAAAAATGAAATACTGAAAACATGATATACTGTAATAAATCAGTCAAAATTCCAATGACAACAGATTAAGAACTTAGTACAGTAAAACTCCGATGGTCCGGCATCTGACAGTCCGGCACTCCTGATGGTCCGGCACCATAAGGAACCCGGAAGTGCTCCGGGCAGCCGGACCATTGGAGCTGCTCTGCCCCCAGCTTTCCCGATTCAGCCGCTGCTAAAACTGACCAGTGCTGAATTCAGGAAGCAAGGGGCAGAACAGCTGGAGTGCTGCCGGGTAGGTCCAGTAGTGCTGCCCCTCGGGGCTGCGGGACCAACCCAGCAGCTCCCCAGCTGCTCTGCCCCAGGCGTCCTGATTCAGCAGCTGCTGAAACTGACCAGGGCTGACTCCAGAAAGCCCCGGGGCAGAGCAGCTCTGCCTCTGGCTTTCTGGAGTCAGCCGCTGATCAGTATCAGCAGCGGCTGACTTGGGGACACCTGGGGCAGAGCAGCTGGGGTGCTGACGGGTTGGTCTCGCAGCACCAAGGGTCAGCGCTACCGGACCAACCCAGCAGCACCCCAGCTGCTGTGCTGCAGGTGCCCCTGATTCAGCCACTGCTGAAACTGACCAGCAGCGGCTGAATCAGGGACTCCTGGGGCAGAGCTGGACTATCAGAAGGGAGGGCTATGAGGGGGTCTGGGGTAGCATCCCCCCACCCCAGATCCTTCATAGCCCCCCCCCTTCTGATAGTCCGGCATATCTGATAATCTGGCACCCCCTGGGTCCTAAAGGTGCCGGATTATCGGAAGTTTACTGTATCATGATGCACAGGGCCTGATATTGTACTACAAGTTAATGGGAATTTTTCTTTTGCTTTCAATGGAGATAGGCCTGGATTCCTCGTTTTATTTAATCATGCAATATAAATATGCTGAATATAAATATGGACTTACTGTTTCACTGCCAGGTTTCCAACCAGCAGGGCAAACTAGAAAAAAAAAGTAAAAATTGAAGTTCTCACTAGAAAAGAAATTAATTCTCTCATATTTGGTTTTCTGGCCACTCTTGAAAAACCTATCTTTGAATTTTAAGTAAAATAGTTCAAAGGTGCCACATGTAAATATGCAAAGTTCTTATTTATCAGACAGTTTCCCTAAAACATTTATATTGGTACTACTTTCAGGGCTGGTTGGATTGTTCCATTCACCAAAAACTGGAAATCCTTGCTTGGTTGGGTATATGTGTGTAGGGGTATATACTGATTTTGATTTTCAGTTTATTAGTTAAATTACTACCAAAGTAATAGAACCTCCAGTTCTGAGGATAAATCCCCATTCCAGGAAGACACATGATGCCAAGATAAGAGTACAAGCATTTCACCACGTGTAAATGGAGACGGGCATAACTTTCTTTAGAACTAATGCTATTACTTTATTGCTGTACCAATGAAGAAAAATTAAAGCATGCTCTACAAAGTGACCGTTTGATATCCTGTTTAGGGGACAAAAATATTAGGATGATCAAAATAAGTATTTGCCATTCTTACAATTGCTCAGTTGTTCACGTATAACTTACATGAGACCAGGGAGAGTTTCACTGGTTTTGATGAGGCTCTGCCCAGGCTCAAAGATTTGCTTGCGGAGTTGGGATTACATAAAAGGTGCACAGACATTTTATCCCCTGCAGACAGTGCTGCCAGCTGAAAAGTGGTGAACTTAATAAAAACCTTGGAGGATTTTTCCTTCCAGCCTTTGCAGAGTCCAATTAAGTATACAGCTATTGCTACATAAGTCCAGCAAAACCCAACAAGATTCCACATGCCTCTCAGGGGCTACGTCTACATTGGCCCCTATTCCGTAATAGGGATGCTAATGTAGCACTTGGGAATAGGCAAATCTGCGGGGGATTTAAATATCCCCCGCGGGATTTGCATTTTCAAGGCCGCCGCTTTTTTCCAGCTTGTGGATAAGCCGGAGAAAAGCGCCAGTCTGGACGCGATCCTCCGGAAAATAAGCTCTTTTCCGGAGGATCTCTTACTCCCACTTTCAAGTTTCAAGGGGGAATAAGAGATCCTTCAGAAAAGAGCTTATTTTCCGGAGGATCGCGTCCAGACTGGCGCCTTTGCGCTTTTCTCCGGCTTATCTACAAGCCGGAAAAAAGCGGCAGCCATGAAAATGCAAATCCCGCGGGGGATATTTAAATCCCCCGCAGATTTGCCTATTCCCAAGTGCTACATTAGCATCCCTATTACGGAATAGGGGCCAATGTAGACACAGCCTGGGAGACTCTAGTACTTGGTAAGCTGAGACATAGCTTTATTTGAGGCTGAACAAAAAGGACTTGACCTCCTTAATCAAAATAGCGCTATGTTTTATCGCTGAGCCTCATTTGAATACCTAATGAGCCACCTTTTTTTCAGAAGAGGCTCTTGCGCAAGAAGGAGCGTCTACACTGCCCCTTCTTGCGCAAGAAAAACCCTCTTGTGCAATGCCATTACACCTATTACTTGAGGAAGAATGGCATTGCGCAAGAGGGTTTTTCTTGCGCAAGAAGGGGCAGTGTAGATGCTTCTTCTTGCGCAAGAGCCACTTCTGAAAAAAATGGTGACTCATTAGGTATGCAAATGAGGCTCAGCGATATTCCACGCTTAGTCTCCTTTGCATATTACTCGTGCAAGAAGCTGCGAGTGTAGACGTAGCCCAAATGTATTAAAGTACCGAGCCTGATTCTTCACTGGCTAATGCTTTGTGTGTCATGGATGCTTATCAGTGGAAAATGGGCATAAATGCTCCTGTTTTCATTTGGTAGTGTTACAACTACTTTGCATTAGCTTAGACTCTACCCTAGGTGTAAGGCAGGGAGAATCAGGTAATCTTGAATGAGGGGAATTGAAAACTTTGTACAGTAACAATTATGAAGCTAGCAAATGTTGCAGTATGCCTTGCTTCCTCAGAACTAAAAAATACTTTCCAAACTAAAGAAAACCTCAACATAATTCCCACTGCCAAAATATTGAAAACAGGTACCTTCTCCATGTTTGTCAGTGTACTGGAATGCTTGTACTAGACGAAGTGTTTCATCCACTGATCTGCCTACAGGAAGATCATTCATTGTTATCTGTCGAAGGACCCTCTTATCATCAATAATGAAAAGGCCTCTGCAAAAACATGGAATTTCTTTTAGACACAAACCTAATGATCTTGATCTCTATTACACACATTGTGGTGCCCAGATATTGCAGCATGACATCAGAAGTGGCTGCCTCTCTCCAAGCACTACCCAGGCAGCGTTTCTGTGATAACTGTGAGTTTCCTTGGCAAATCCCTTCACATTACTTTTTCATTCATAATGTCCCCAGAATATTAAGACTCTACCTTCCCCCACATCTGGAGTTTTTCAATACCAGCCTCATTTGTAGGAGATGCTCTCAGTCTGCAGTGTACTCAGATCCTGCTGTAATCTACATAAGGTCAAGTCAGAATTAAGAAAGCAATAAACATAAGAATCGCCACACTGAGTCAGACCAATGATCCATCTAGCCCAGTGTCCTATCTTCTTAGAAGCAGCCAATGCCAAGTGCTTTAGGCAGAATGCAAAGAACAGGCAATCGACACATGATCTATCCCTTGATGTCCACTCCCAGCCATTAAAAGCAAGGGACAGCCAGATGTTGGGATTGCTTCCTTGACCATCTTGGCTAATAGCCATTGATGGACCTATCCTACATAAACTTTTCTAGTTCTTTTTTGAACCCCATTATATTTTGACTCTCACAACATCCCCCGACCATGAGTTTCACAGATCATGTATTTTGTTTGTTTTTAAACTTGCTTATTAATTACATCATGTGATCCCTGGTTCTTGTGCTATGTGAAGAAGTAAATAACACCACTTTCTTATTCACTTTCTTCACATCAGTTATGATTTTAGACCTCCATCATATCTCCTCTTCGTTGTCCCTTTTCTGAGCTGCAAAGTCCCAGTCTTCTTAATTTCTCCTCATGTGGAAGCTGTTCCATGCCCTTAATAATTTTTTGTCCTTTCTGTGTATCTTTTCCAATTCTAATATATCTTTTTTGAGAAGAGGTTACCATAACTGTACAGTATTCAATGTGTGGGTTTACCATAGATGTATATAGTAGTAATATGTTATTTTCCCTCTTATTCATTTCTTTCCTAATGTTTCCTAACACTGTTAGCTTTTGTGACTGCTGCTGCCGACGGAGCTGGCATTTTCAGAGAATTATCCATGACGACTTCAAGATCTCTGTCTTGACTAGTTAACAGCTAATTTAGATCCCATCATTTTGTATATATGTTGTTTGTTTCCAATGTACATTAATTAGATTTACCATCATTGAATTTCATCTGACACTGTTGTCCGATTACTCAGTTTTGTGAAATCTCTCTTGCAACTTTTTGCATCTTCACTGATGAAGTAATTTTGTACAGTTTGAAAATTTTGACACCTCACTGTTTAGCCCTTTTCCCAGATCATTTATTAATCTGTTGAACCACACTGGTCCCTGACAGATCAGTGGGGGGACATTACTATGTTCATTCTGAAATCTGACAATTTCAAATTTTTTTTGTCTTTTAACCAGTCACTGATTAATGAAAGAAACTTCCCTCTTATCCCATAATTGCTTACTCTCTTTAAGCGCCTTTGTTGAAAAACCTTTTCAACAGGGATGTAAAATCCCAGTTAACCAACTAAGGAGGATCAGGACTGGGGACTCCTGCAGCCCGGCTAAAGCAGCCCCCAGTCCGTGGGGCTCTGTACTGGCTGGCTGCTGGCTCCCAAACCCACGTGGGGACTGGGACTGTCAACTGCTCCTAGGCCCTGCCAGAGCAGTGGGGCTCTTAGGCTCCCTGTGGACAAAGGCTGCTCCAGACAAGAGCGTCCCCTGTTCCTGGTGGTCCGGAGCAGCCCCCTGCAACAGGCGAGGAGCTGCTCCAGCCCTCACTGGTTAACTTTTCACATCCATACTTGTCAAAGGCTTTCTAAAAGTCCCAGTACATAAGTTTGCATTTTTCTTCAGTGCTATTATGATGATGCTCAAGAACTTTTTTTACATGCATTTTTGTATGAAGTCTTGAACACTATTTACCCTTAACTATGTAGCTTGGTAAATAGACCATGGAATTTGCAACATTGTCCAGACAATAGCTCTAATGTCTCAAAACACGTGATGTTTTCACTATAGGATAAGGAAGAAAAAGAAAGTGACGTGTGAGAGAGACTGACTTTTTCAAAATTCTGCAAAGCAGCAGCAGTAGCAAAGAACACTGAAAATGAATGGGCAAGAAATACTGCTGTATCAAACAATGCCACAACTACCACTAGACAAGATTTACATACTTCTGATCAGCAGCAAGGTGGTCAACATAAAATATCTGACAGTTCTTTACCAAATTTTGAATCCATGGTTCAGTTTAATTTAATAAAACACTAGGGCTGCATCTAGACTGGCAAGTTTTTCCGTAAAAGCAGCTGATTTTGTGGAAAAACTTGCCAGCTGTCTACACTGGCCGCTTGAATTTCCGCAAGAACACTGATGATCTCATGTAAGATTGTCAGTGTTCTTGCGGAAATACTATGCTGCTCTCGTTCGGGCAAAAGCCCTCTTGCGCAAATGCTTTTGCGCAAGAGGGCCAGTGTAGGCAACGTGGTATTGTTTTGCGCAAAAAAGCCCCGATCGCGAAAATGGCGATCAGGGCTTTCTTGCGCAAAACCGCGTCTAGATTGGCACGGACGCTTTTATGCAAAAAGTGCTTTTGCGGAAAAGCGTCCGTGCCAATCTAGACGCTCTTTTCCACAAATGCTTTTAATGGAAAAACTTTTCCGTTAAAAGCATTTGCAGAAAATCATGCCAGTCTAGATGTAGCCCAGATGTAATAGAAGAAAAGATCAGACCGGGGAGTTCAGATTCTGACAGAACACAGCATTTCAGCTTATCTTTAAATCTCTCAATTTTAAATGCATAATAGATCATTATGGATTAACTTCTGAATGAAATAAATGTTTCCTTGTGAACTAAGAGCTTTAATATACAATTTCAGCCAAGTTATCAACAGTCGGTGGAAAAAAAGCCCATATAATAGATATTATGAATTTCTGAATGGGAAGCTTAAATGACTGTTGTTTTATTTCATATAGCTTATAGCATTCTGAACATTTTCCTTACTACTCATTCTCCCACTCATCAGGTATGTTCAATTGGTTTGTTATTGTACATCTTCACATGCTGGCCTGTTGATCTGTCTTTTTAAGAAAAGTAATTTATCCATGTAAACAGACCCAGTATATGTTCAGATATTATATACTATGTTCATCATAGTAGATATAAGAGAAGAGTGCCAATATTATGTGTCCTTTTAAACAGAACTGATAGAAAGCACTGCTATTGCAAGATAGAATGTAGTGACAGAACATAATACCTAAGCGTATGTCCTTGGTCCTCTAGATATACTCCATAATCCTTAGAAATCTGGTGTGTCAAATCAGAAAGAAGAGGGATCTTCATTGGTCCAAGTCCTCCTTGTTTTCGTGGAGTATTAATCCTTTAACAAACAAAAGAAATGCACATTTATTCTTCAGAGATTTTTATTCCACATACAAATAACTTTTCCATGTAGCTTTTGTGCAGAAGGAATATCTATATTTGTTTTGTTCTTTTTCCTACTTATTTGTT